AAGGGGCTGGAGAGATGGCTCAGTGGTTAGGAGCACTGACTGCTCTTGCAGAGGACTCAGGTTCAATTCCCAGCACCCACATGACAGCTAACAATGGTCTATAACCCCAGTTCCAGGAGCTCCAACGCCCTCTTCTGGTCTCCTTGGCACTGTACGATATCCATGCACTTACGTACACGCGGGCAATACATTCATACATATAAAACAAAAATAATAAATAAAAAAACTTTTAAAAAAATCAAGATTTTAGCTAGGCATTGTGGCGTACGCCTTTAACCCAGCACTCAGAAGGCAAAGACAGGTGGATTTCTATAAGTTTGGTGACAGCCTGGGCAGCACAGTGAGTTCTAGGCCAGCCAAGACTACGTATGAGACCCTGACTCAAAAAGCCAGGCATGATAGCACACACCTTTAATCCCATCATTCAGGAGGCAGAGGCAGGAGGGTCTCTGTGAGATCGAGGCCATCCTGGTCTACATAGTGAATTCCGGGTCAGCTGGGACTACAGGGAGACGCTGTCTCAAAATTTTGCCCACAATCAGGTCAGGAATGGGCAAAAGCAGAGGGAAGGAAGAAAGCTTGCCTTTCAAAGGTCCTGTTCTGGGGAACCTCTCCATGTCCTGAAGCCCTACTCCTGTCTTACAGATCAGCCAATAAAAGACAATCCATACAGTGGAGCACGATTCAGCCTTGAAAAAGAAAGAAATTCAGCCATGTGCCCCACAGATGAACTCGGAAATGTTTTCTCACTGAAATAAGCCATATCTGTGAGGGACCTCCTGTGGTCAGAGTCACAGAAAAGTGGAGTGAGGGCTGCAGGGAAGTGGGTATGGGGGGAGAGGAGTGGTGAAGATGATCTGTGGCAACGTGGGGTTGTCTGATGTCAATAGACAAATGGCTCACATGTCACTTACAAATGGCTATCACGGTGACTCCGGTGCCGGCCATGGGTCACCATAATAAAGATGAATTGAAGGTGGGACATGGTGTTGCATGCCTGTAATTCCAGGACTTACAGGGTACAGGCAGGAGGATCAGGAGTTCAAGGCCAGCCTTGGCTACCTATTGAGTTCAAGGCCAACGTGAGCTACGCGAGACCGTCTTGGAAAACCAAAAATAAAAAATCGAAATTATGTTTAAAACCTGCCAATCTTGAAATGCAGTGATTCCTTGGGTCTCCCACTTGGCCCTGCCAGCTATGGGGAAAGGAAAGGACAAGACCCCCACCCTAACCTAGACTCACCCCATTACCATCTGCCATTCAGCCTGGCAGGGCCCCAGTGTACCCCACTTCCCCAGGACCTCGGATTCCAGGTACCCTAACACCTCAAATCTACACACAGGATCTGCTTCAGATCCACAGGATCCCCCTGGAAGCCCAGCACACAAGCCTCTCCTCACAGGTACCAGCCCTGAACAGCACCCGGCCGGAGCTGGCCAGGGCCTCTCAGACTGGCTCAGGGGGCGTGTTTATTTTCTCAGCGTGTCCACGGCCCAGTTTCTGCCCTGCCCACAGGAGGGAATGCTTTAAAGAAACTCTCGGTTATTAATGTGGTTTCTTTTGTTGTAAGCCATCGCAAAGGCAGAGAACGAGGGTTTATTTTCCTAACGCGCTTGGCATAGCTCAGCGCCCCGGCACAGCCATCAGCATTTGATTCAGGGGGAAACCGAGCCCCCAGTGTGTTCTGAATCACCAGTGAAGCTACAGCCTCTCTGGCCAGTTCTGGGGTGGGGTGGGGAGCAGGGGTTTGGAAAGTCGATGGCAGACATAGGCTACATGTACTGATGGCTTTTCAAAACCAAAAGTTTTTTTTTTAACATTTTTTTTAATTGGCAGGGTAACAACAGGTCAGGATTGCTCACTCATTAGTTCCCCACTAACCTTTTTTTTTTTTTTTTTTTTTTTTTTTTTTTTTTTGAGTAAGATGGGTTAGTCATATGTCCTAGAACACTATGTAGACCAGGCTGTCCTTGAACACACAGAGATCCACCTGCCTCTGCCTCTGAGTGCTGGGATTAAAGGCGTGCGCCACCATGCCTGGCCAAACCCATCTTTTTCTATTCCTGGGGCTTCTCCCCTCTTTCTATGGACCTGGAAACAGCCACTGAAGCCACTGGAAGATCTACTTCCAACAGTGCTCTAGAGCTTGGGGAGGTGCCAGGGTTCAGGATAGGAGAGTCAGCCTCCGCCTGTGTGCTGCTGGGGGCTGAGTCCTGGCATCCCAAGGTCTTTCTCCCTCCCTCCCACCCTCCCACCCTCCCTCCCTCCCTTCGTTCCTTCTTCCCGGTGCTGGGGTTAGAATCTGGGCCCTGTGCACACTGGGCCACTGAGCCACACCCTCCAGCCCTGTGTTCTCTTTCCCCCAAGTCCAGGGATGAGGAAAAGACAGGTTCCTTCTCCCCTACCTCCCAAGCCCTCAGGACTGTGAAACCACTAATCACCGGCAGTGGGAAGAGGCAGCTGACCAGAGGGAAGAAGAGGAAGCCACTACAGCCTCCTCCCTCCCTCTTCTGTCTTCAGACCCCAGTTCAGACAGAAGCTTTGCATGGTGCTGCTGGTCCACCACAGTCCCTGGGACAGATGTGGACCCAGATTCCAAGGCAAGGGGGCTAGATAGTAAGCGCCTCCTTGAGCCTGGCTCAGGCCCTCCCACCAGACTCCACAGGAGGCTCGTCTTCTGTCCTTAAACATCCGAGTGTGCAGGGAGCCGCACTTCAGGAAAGTTATATTGAATTTCCAATGGTTTTCAGGGAGGGTAGGTAGGCCTGGGGGTGCTGGGGGCACCCACTATCCACCCAGCCTCCTGAAGGCTGCCAGGGCACCAACTGGGCACTCACACCCCAGCTGTCACAAGCTGTCTGGAATTCCAAGGTCTGTGGACCTTGTAGGCCACATGGCAAAGAAATCAGGCCTTGTACCGGCCCCTCTCTTGATCGCTCCTGTGTTCCCCTCTTCCCTTCTCCTTCCTCTTCCTGTCTCTCGGTTTTCTCTCACCTTAATTTTATCCCTCCCTCTGTCCTGCCCTGGAGCCTCAGTCATCAAGGTAAAACAGAGAACATGCAGGAAGCCCGCTTTTCCCTGGCCATCCCTTCCTCTCTTCTGCCCTTCTGTCAAGGATGAGGATGTAAACACTGATTCCCAGGACTGTCAGCCCACTCAGTCTATCACCTGACACCTGAGAAAGTAGACAGTGGCCTCCCCTGGCCTGAGCACCACACATGCCTGCCTGACTCAGGCTGGCAGCTGGGGGTGTTATCAGAAGATGCTGTGTAGAAAGCAGAGGTCTGAAGAAGCCGTAAGACCCATGCTCAAAGTCTTAGTTCCAGATGAGGCCACTGTCACCTCCGTGGTCAGGAGACCCTCTCTTGTCTGAAAGCAGAGGCTCTGGGCCTACATGAGCACCCCAGGACCTCAAAGCTGGCTGGTGCCGGAAGTGGAATCCCTAAAGTGATGGGAAGGTGGGGGCTGCTAACTCTTCCCCTATCACCTCCCCACATACTTTTGGGGGGTTCAGACAATCAGGTGGCCTAGAGCCTCCAGGAGGCCAGTCTAGTCTCCAGAGCAAGGAGCCAGGGGTAACGGCCTCAGACCCCGGCCCCCAGCACTTGGGAAGGCTTTGCGGACTCTGGCCTTCTCCCCCTGCCCTGCTCCTCATTTAAACTGTCCAGGCTGGGACCTTCCCACCCCCACTCCCATCCCCCACATCTCCCCCCCCACCTCTCTACCTTACCCCCTGCCTCTCCTCTCCACCTCCCCCCTCACCCCCTCTTCTTTGAAGGGTTGAGCTGAGGAGTCTGTGATCGTGTGACTTTTGGGGGAAAAAAAAAGTTACTTGTGTGGATTGTTTGTTTTTAAAACCCCCTTCCAGATGACCTTTAACCTCCACAGTGGAAGGGAGGCCCGGCGTCCACCTCTGACAGTTCCTCCACCCCAAATGCAGGATGCAGTTGCAGCCATTCCCTCTGCACAAGTCCTCTGAATGGCTGGACCCCTTCCCAGCCTCAGTTTCCCCAGCGGTAACATGATAGTAATGCAAGGACACCCACTTCTGAAACTAGTTGGAAACTGGATGCAAGGGTGCCTGTTTTACTGAAGTCACACATCCCCCGGCCCTAGGTTCAAAGAGGGTCTTCACTATGATTGGAGACTTCAAGACAACTGGAGCCCACCACATCCGCTGCAGGTTCTGGGTCTGTGGCCCCTGCTGTGAACAAGCCAGTCCTTCCAGTGTCCAAAGCCAGAAGTCTCTGCAGCTCAGGGTCCCACAATCAGCCTCTTTCAGTCTGGGGGGACGGTGCAGTGGCCGGGGGGGGGGTGTCCCTTAGCTGGGGTCCTGCAACCAGGGTGTCCCCCAGTCAGGGGGCCCTGAAGCTGGGGTCCCGCAACCAGGGGGTCCACCAGTCTGGGGCCCCCAAAGCTGGGGTCCTGCAACCAGGGAGTTCCCCACTCTGGGGATTCCGAAGCTGGGTCCTGCAATCAGGGTGTCCCCCAATCTGGGGGCCCCAAAGCTGGGGGTCCTGCAACCAGGGTGTCCTCCCGTCAGGGGGCCCTGAAGCTGGGTCCTGCAACCAGGGGGTCCCCCAGTCTAGGGGCTTCGAAGCTGGGTCCTGCAACCAGGGGGTCCCCCACTCTGGGGGTTCCGAAGCTGGGTCCTGCAACCAGGGGGTCCCGTAGCCGGGGGTCCCCCAGCGCAGCGCCCCAGCCTCGGACCGCGTTCCCACGGCCCGCGCACTCACCGTCCTGCGGCGCCGCCTCGCTGCCGCTGCTGCCCCCGGACGGCTCCCGCGCCGCGCCCTCCCGCGCCTCGGCCTGGGGC